CATACCATCTTCCAACCTGGGAGTCCCATCTTCTAATGGCATACCGACATATCTCTGGTTGTGTTATTTTGTGTTATTATGTCTGAATTTATTCCTCTACTAGCTGTACACGCCACGTGTTGCTGTGGCCACCCTTCCCTCCCTCTTTCTCTCCTTCCTTTCTTTCCTCTCTCCCTCTTTCCTTCCTTCCCTTTTTTCTTTCCTTCTTTCCTTCCTTCCTTCTCTCCTTCCTTCCTTCCTTCCTTCCTTCCTTCCTTCTCTAACTCTTTTCTTTCTTCCCCTCTCTTTTTCTTTCTCTCATTTTTTCCTTCTCTACCTATTCTTGGGCTGTAAGTCCCAGCAGTTCTCCTCATTGATCTATCTACCTACTATCTATCTATCTCTATCTAATCTATATATCTTATCTATCTGGAGGATTGCTGGGAGCTGCAGTCCAGGAATAAGAAATAGGAAATATGTATGGATTGGGAAGTTCTCAAAGAAATCCAAGGAGAAGAAAGCTTGCAGCTTGGAAGCAGTGCATTTGGAGCATCCTTCTCTCCTAAAGAGCCTGGTCTAGAGGATGTTGGGAGCTGTCGTTTTCACAGATGTGCTGTATCTTCATTTAGCTTTTTTCATTTTTTAAGTCCTTTACACTATTTTTGGGAGGTGTTTATGTGTGATGGTCACTTATTGGTCTGTTAGGGATGTAGTGTCCAAATTTCGTGTCAATTTGTCCAGTGGTTTTTGAGTTATATTATTCCCACAAATGAACATCACATTTTATTTATATAGATTAAGGCATTGAATGTTTGCCATTTTATTTTGTTGGAATCCACCTTGAGTCGAGGATGGATTCCAACCTCTATTTGAAGAGATAGGACGGAATATAAAGTCTTATTATTATATGAGGGCATATGATTTGCCCAGAGCCTTCTAGTAGGTTTCCATGACTGAGTAGGAATTTGAACGCTGAAATCCAGGTCATAGTTCAAAGCTCAAACCACCACATGACACTTGTACTACAGACTTTTAAAGTCATTTCTTTCTCCTTTGTCAAAACTATGAAACTAAATCAAATTAGACTCAAGGACTCTGCTTAACTGGTTAATGGAATGGAATAGTAACACGTTTCTGAATATATATTTCGATTTTTGTTGCAATTGAGTTCTGCTCTGTGAACTTTAGTCATGAAAATAAACTGTGCAGCATGCCAGTTTAGATCAACACAATATTTGCATAATTCTTTATTATAGCAGGCCACTAAGTGCACTACTATTTGATTCCTGAACAAAATTTTTTTCTGATTGTCTTCTCTTAGTGAAAATACAGAAATTATTTCTGAACCATGCACAAAGAAGCCAAGCTTTAATTCTGACCAATAATTTCCTTGGGAAAAGTTAGAATCAGATACTCAATAAGTCACTGCGTGAAACCATTTTTTAAAATTCTGATGACCAATTTAAATGTATGCCTTATGAAAGAATGTATCTTGATTTTTATTTTTTTAAACAAACCTCAAATTATATACAGAATGGAAAAGACTACATC